TGAAAGCTTTCGCTCTAAAAGCAGGAACAAGACAAGGATGTCCACTTTCACCACTCCTATCCAATATAGTTCTGGAAACATCAGCCTGAGCAATGAGACAAGAGAAAGTAATGAAAGCAATAAGGAAAGGAAAGAAAGAAGTTGAATTATTATTAGCAGATGACATGATACTCTACAAATAGGACCCCAAAAACTGCACCCAAAGACTTGTAGAATTGACAACCAAATTCAGTAGTGTAGCTGGATACCAAGTCAACACTCAAAAATCAATAGCATTTCCATGCACTAAAAAACAAATAAACAAATGCACAGAGAGAAATTAGGGGAACAACATGTTTCCCAATACCATAAAAAGAATGAAATACTTAGGAATCAATAGCATAAAAAGAATGAAATACTTACGAATCAATGAATCAAAAGAAGTACAGGACCGCCACATGGTCGAGAATAGGCATGCCACAGAGAAGCACCGACACAACAGGGCCACCCAGAGATGTGTGTGAACCATCCTGACATGGAGAAACCTCTGGAAAAACATGCCACATGGCATGTGGCTCTTGGCCCTGTCCTTGACAGCCAGAAAGGTCAGGAGTCAGCAATGGAGCAGCTGATGAACAAGGACTCGGAGAACACAAGAGTACTGATGCCCGACAACTCAGAGGTCGAGCAGACTGAGGATGTGAGAGCCATTTGCGAGCTGGAAATCAGGAGGACCTTGTGCAATACCTGGGGAGACACCCTGGAGGCCATTCTTCCCCTAATTGTACATTCTTCCCCTAATTGTGCGGTGGAGGAGCGAGCGAACCCCCAGAGAGGTCTGAAATGAGACTACATGGATTACATGGGTGCCCAATATTCAGATTCTGAAGAACTGCCTTCATGGAGAAGGTATGTGTCTAGGTTACCTGCCTGGAACACTTCGCACCTGATAGTGCTGAGACTGACTAGCGGGCCGAGGACTTCATCCACATGTTCCTGCTGCCTGTGTTGATGGTTGAGGAGAGGCCACTAAGTGGTTGCAGGGTCCCAATGCACTGGGAGGCTGGAGAGAACACCCCTCTGCTTTCTTAGACAAGAGGCATTCATAGAGCATACTTCCCTGGATCCCAGTTCAGTAGAGGGACAAACTATTCTTAAAGGTAAGTGTATTACTCAGCCAGCCCCAGATAGTAGAAAAAAGCTACAAAAAAATCGCTCTTGCCCCAGATAGCTCACTTGAGAGTTAGTAAGAACTGCCTCCTCAGGATTTTATAGCCATGAGGAGGACGAGGCCAAGGAGAGAAAATAAAGAGACTGAGAAAAAAACAGCTGCCTTTGCTGCAGTACTAAGAGAAACAGACCCTAAGTCTGATTCTCAGGTCCCCAAGAAGAACTTGTAGACTACATTCATCTGCTACCACTGTCAAAAGCCAGGCCACCTCAAGAGGAACTGCCCTAAGAAGTCCCCTGGGCCATGTCCTGACTGTAAAGAGGTTGGACTGCCCTCTGAAGTGAAGGCCCCAGAGCTCAGACTCCTCCTACCAGCTGGTCCAACAGGAATAAAGGGGCCCAGGGGATACTCTGCCAATTCACTCTGGCCAGACCATTACTTCCCAAGAGCCCTACATAATCATGACTATAGAGGAAAAAGAAAACAGCCTATTGCTGGACACCAGTGCTAGTCTCTAGGTCCTTCTTTCCAATCTTGGCCTTCCTTCCAGCCATCACACCTCAGTGAAAGGAGTCACTGATGAGGAGGTAATCCACTATTTTTCACAATCCTTAGGCTGTAACTAATTGTTAGATTTTTCTTGTATATCTTTGTTTTCCTGAGAAACCACTTTGAAGATAACACCAGGTATTACAGCAGCCACTGATAATTTCCTACCAATCTGTCCATATCTCTGCAATGTTTGTATTGTTCCTATGCTATTTCACAAATGGATGTATGTTTATTACTATGTGTTTTCAACCACAACCACTGAGAATAGGCAATGACTATTTAATTGATCATTCATGTATAGGTCTATTTGTTTTCTCTAGAAATCACTTTGAAGAAACCAAAGTATAGTACAACAACCATTGATAATTTCTTACCATTTTAGTCTGTAACTCAATATTATTTGTCTATTTGTTTTCCTGAGAAACTATCTTGAAGATACCAATAGGTAAAATAACAACCATTGATAATGTCCTACCACTTTGTCTGTAATTAGGTAAATTCCCCTATTACTATGTTATCCTTCTTTTACTCTTTAAAATTAAAAAAAAAAAAAAACCCAGCATGATATTGGTAAAAAAAAATAAAATGAAACAAAACAAAACAGGATGAATGGAACAGATTAAAAGATGCAGACACCACCCTATCTTTGACAAATGTGCCAAACACCTTCACTCAAATAAAAATAGCCTCTTTAGTAAATGGTACTGGAAAAACTGCCTTTCCACATGCCAAAGACTAAAACTAGAATTATGTCCCTCTGCATGTACTCAAATAGAATTGAAATGGATCAAAGATCTAAATACTAAAACAGAAACACTAAATCTGCTGGAAGAGTGAAAAGGTAGAACTCTGAAAGACATAGGTGTAGGCAAAGATTTCATGAACAAAACTCTGATCACACAGAAGATACTAAGAAGAATCATCACCTGGGATCTCACCCTACTAAAAATTTTACACAGCAAAAGAAATTAACAATAGATTTAAAAGTCAACATATAGAGTGGGAAAAAGTCTTAGCCGGTTGTTGCTCACACAAAAGAATAATAACTAGAACATACAAAGAAGTGAAAA